TATATATATATATCACGCACGTGGAGTGCGCGCGCCTGAAATATCTGGACTAGGAGGAGCTGACCTCCTGCAGACTCCTTGCAGAGAGGGGGAAAAGCAGCTTCCTCCTGTTTGTGTGCAGAAAAGTTGGAGGAGAGGACGGACCCAGGACCTGAAACCTGACCACGGAGCCTCCTCCTCCTGCTGCTGGCTTTAACTCAAACCAGATGGTGTCCCGCTACTCCACAGCAGCTCCAGCCTGATGCGTGGCTCCAGCACAGGAGGTAAAGCAGTTTAGACGGAGTAGGAGAAGATAATGAGGGGAGGACGGCGCAGATTTGACTCCGAGGAGTCATACAGTGTCCATTTAAAGGAGTGAGCTCGGAGTTTGCGGAGTTCGTGGCCCCTCCGTCTGATCTCAGGTCCGCGCACGGCTCAGCAGCACGGCAGTCACGGCCTCTCTTGCGCGCTCACCCGTGTCTTCGGGACACGTAAAAGCAGGACTTTATTTTCTGATGAAGGATTCAAACTGCGCATGCTCTGTGCTGACCTAAGTGGGCTCAGATTGAGCTGACGGAGGTGATGGAGGTGACGGAGGTACGGTGAAGCTCGCGCTCCGGTGATGCGGTGCGTCCCGCTGCTCCGCCGGCGCTCCGGCCCGCCCCTGCTGCTGCTCGCGCTCCTGCTCGTACTCTGTGTGTACCTGATGGTGGGGGACGAGCCGGTGCGGTCAGATGTGTGCTACAAGGTACCCTCGCTCCAGATGTTGACCCGCAGGTTTGTGTGCACTCTGGAGGCTCTGCAGAGACACGCACAGGTGAGCATATCTGCGTCACACCATGACGTCATTCTGAGTGGCCCACAATGACCCCCACCAGTATCAGTTTAGTAAAGCTGCTCACCAAACTCAATTAAAACAGAAGCAAACATTTAAGGAGCAGCTGCACTGAGCCAGTGAGATTCAGGCACCTGAGGGCTCCGCCCCACTATCCCATCACCAAATGTCAGGCTGTTTTTATTATTTCCAGAGTCTTAGATGACCGTCACCTTTCAAACACTATATTTTTCACTCCAGTTAAACTCTGTCAAACTGTACTCCACTTTATCATGTGTCAGAGTTTAGTGAAAATCATATTGTTTTAAAACTTCCTCAAATGTGTTTCATGTTTAGATCTCTCCTAAGGCGCTTTATTACTGTACTGTCTCATTGGTTCCACATAAACTTTATTATTGAACCCAAAATGACCCCAAAGCTCTGTTTTAACTAAAACACTTCAAATACATGTGAACGACCCTGAGACAGCAGAGTGGAGTGAACTCTTCTTAAAACGTTTTGATATCTGAATGGACTTCTGAATGCATCCGCTGGAGGAGGATTCCTGCTGGGCCGAGGCTCCTTCTGTCTCATTGTTGCTATATTTTTAGACACAGACGAATGAACGACTGTGAGCACGAGGGTTTTATTTTACCACGGGGTGACTGACAGCTGCATGGACCAATCAGAGCCAGACAATCCAGTTGGCATGTGTTCTGGGTATTTTAAGTGTGTCCTGGTGCTTGGTGTCCCGATAGAAATATTTCTGCCACGAGGATCCAGTTTCTGACAGATAACAAGAGTGTAAACATACACACACACTCGCATGCATACACACACACACACACACACGCACACACTCACAGTGTTTGTTTTGTTTTATGAGGGCTGCAAACTCCTGTCTGCTCATCCTTCACCTTTTACTGCGTGTCGTGTTCAGAGCTCAGAGGTCAGAGTTGGAGTAACGCTGAGGCTTTAATGAGCTTTCACTCTATCTTCATCTGAAAACTTGATAATGAGTTTAGATTTACACCACTCAAGAAGAGCTGTAACATCTTCGTAATGCTGTGGCTCAGTAAAACTTTATCGATAAAACATTTTGCCGACCCACAGGACGGGAACATCTGAGAAGGAATTTATTATTGAGTCTTTATGCATGATGACAAACAAACTTCATCAATACATCTGAACGGTCTTCATTAGCGTGTAAGACGTAAAAAAAATCCTTTAAATAAAGGTTTGAATGTTGTATTTCTGCTGTGGGTGTTGTTCGACCTCCGCAGAATTAAAGCGACAGCAGAGGAGGGCTCACCGTGCAGGTCACCCTGAACACAATGGTCTCCACAGACTTCAGGGTACTTCTGAGTATTCTTGCAGGATTCCTTCTCTTTCAGAGTATTTTGGGGTCTTTCTCAGTCTCTCAGGAGGGTTCTTTCCTGAGTCTTTCAGGTTTTTCTGAATGCTACAGGTATTTTGTGGTATGTACTGGTGTCCGGGTGATGCAGGGCCTGATTATTCCACCTCTAGGAAATTCTAGGCTCTGTCTTTGTGTCTTCAGGGTTCTTTGGTGTGTCTGATGTTTGAGAGGCCGTCCCTAGTGTCTTCATGTGTTATGAAACCTTTTAAGGTCTTTCGGGAAGTTTCTGGGCTTTTCTTTGACCATTCTTCAGGGTCAAAGGTCGATGTTGTTCTTGTGTCAGCTGACTCTCAGCTGTTGGCCATCAGCTGTTCATTTCTCTGGTTCCTCCCCACAGCTTCCAGTCAGACGTGAGGATTTACTGCTGGGAGCAGATTCTCAACATCTATTTTAATCCAGTCTGACAGGAGCAGAGGACCATGACAAGCACACCATGTTACCTCATGAGCTCTCAGAGGTTTGACAAGACTCTGACTAACCAGAAAATACAGTCCAGTCCATGGGTGATGGTCAGTGGGTCCTGAACGGGTTAACGTAATTGAAACAGTCTGATCCATCAGCTGGACTCTGATTGGCTGTTTGGACAGGTTAATTAAAAATGTGTGTTTGTCATTTGGTTTAATATTTGCTATAATGACATAATTCAAATGTATTTATGTGTAAAATCATTTCTCTCATTTCTATTCCTGTAGCAGTGAACACGCTGGGATCACAGATCACGTTAAACTGAGTGAGACATTAAAACCGGGGAGGGGGTGTGATGAGGGTGTTTTGGGTCATGTGACTCAGTCCATCAGTCTGGAATGTGGGCTTGATGGTCTGATATTGCTCCTCCTGCTGAGTTAATCTGGAATTTTCTCTGTAAAAATCCCAGTTGATAAAGAACTGTCTGTGATCGATCTGTCTGGAGTCCAGACAGCGGAGCGTTGCTGCCTCGTTGTGTCAGCTGACAGGAAGCTGAAGGTGTTAGATTAAGCATAACAGGAAGCAGTGTGAGGCTGACATCACAGCCACTGACCCGACAGGAAAACAGCATCCCGGCCTCAGAGCTGCAGGCCTGAGCTGACTGCATTTCTTCTTCTTTGGTGAGAAGAAACACCTGACAGGCTGTGTGCAGACAGCCATCATCAGAGCGGCAAGCTGACTTTAGTCTGAGGGCTAACACAGCTTCATGGTTTAAATGTTCATCTCTGAGTGCTTCATGAACTGGAGCTCTACCATGCCAGGTGTCATTCAGCTGTGTCAAACTCTCTTAAAGCTATCACAAAAATGTTCTCCACACCAATTTGTACTTTTGTAAACTCTGTAACATATTGTATTATTTAAAGAGTTTAGTCTATTACTGTCTTGGAGCAACTGTAACCCACATAATTTCCTTAGGGATTAATAAAGTATTCTGATTCGTATTCTGAATCACACGAACTCCTGCCGCCCCCTCAGTTGCAGCTCTCGTCTCAGAGGACCCCCCACCGGCGCCGGGCCGTGGTTCTGACGGGGCGACACCCGACCTCAGACACCGAGGTCCAGCTGTACCAGAGAGTCCTGCAGCAGATGGACTACGAGGTCCACCTGTCCAGATACGCCGAGACGAGCAGCTTCCTGAGGAGCACGCAGGGTAAATATACATCTGAGGGGGTGCTGTGCTGGCTTCAGGTGCTGCTGGGAATATAAACACTCTGAATCTGATCCTGAATGAACCGTTCTTTAAACATTTCAACCTGTCAGAAAGACAAACGCGCGCGCGCGCACACACACACACACACACA